CTCTCTCTCTCTCATTCTGTCTCAAATAAATAAAATCTTTAAAAATATATATATTTTAAAAAAATGGAAGAGAATAGTTGTGCAGTCTAACTGAACAAACTCTCTTAGATTCCTAAAGAACATCTAAACTGAGGAGGGAAAAAAGATCTTAAAATTATCACAGGGAAAGTAAACCGAGGAAAACCATTAAAGATCACTGAAGAATGTCAAGTTTCTTGCCTTAGAAATAACAGTAATTATAAAAGCCAGAGATTAAGAGACCACGGTAGCGTCATACAATAGAAATATATAAGTTACAACTATAAGAATATGTTTTATCTATCTTGGTATCTCATATACATTGATTCATCTTGGCAAGAAATTGGAAATAAAGTTAGGATAGTACTGTAGTTTCAATCAAAATAATTATCTTTCATTTATAAACTATCTTACTAAAGCACCATTAAGATATATTTGACTTAAAAAAAAAAAAACCGAAAGCAAATGATTCTTTCATAGTAGTATCAGAAGCCATGGTCTAGTGGAAACAAATTATAGTGAGAAGCCCTGGGTTCAGATACTCTGAACTTAATTTGTTTTTAATTTTGAGTGAGTTACATAATCATTTAAGCCTTTGTTTTAATCTGTAAATTATGGGAGGTATTATTATTATTATAGTGGTTTTTAATAACAATATGTAAGTTTCACAGAAGCAGTTGTAATGATTTAAAACATCAGTGTTTGGTGTCAACAGACTTAGATTTGAGTCTTGGCTATTCAATTATTTATTCCGGGCAAGTTTCTTAATCTCCCTTATCTTTAGTTTCCTTAACTTTAAAATGTTGGGAAATAATACCCACCTCATGTGGTTGTTATAAGGATTAAGCAAGACAATGTAAGGGCTTACAGTGCCCAGAACACAGAAAGCACTCAAAAAATGATAGCTATTATTACCTTCTTGAGTTTTTCAATCTGTTTGTTACGCACTGAAGTATTATCAATTGCCAGAACTTCCACAGATTCTTCTTTATCCAATTGGTACTTATTTACTCCAACAATTATTTCAGAACCTATTAATTTTCCAAAGGAAAATAATATGTAGATTCTATTCACAAATAATTACCTAATAGTAATGCTCTGATCATCAAATACTTTCCTTATAAGCTTAAAATTTTTAAGTAGTATTCTTAAATCTTAATGAAACTTCAATATAGATCAGCAAAGCAAATCCCAATAAAATGGGGATGAGAGGAGAAAAGAACAGGTATGTATCAGAATCTCTGTAAGGGAGGACTTTTATTATTCTCCCAAACTATATGCTTCCCTAGAGTTTCTGATAAACCCTCTTCTAACACCACAAAATTAAAATAATAATAGCAGCTACATCAAGATTTATAAGGAAGAGGATTTACATCCAAAAGTATTTCCAATGTATTTTTGAATTCTCACTTTTAACAAAAAGTACTTTTAAAATTTGTAAGTAATAAACCAGAATTATAAAGACATTTCCTTAACATAGTAAGAATATATTTAGCCTCAAACTATCAGATTATTACTGTATCTAAAGACATCCTGCCATCCACCCCTTCCCCTTATTTCCTTTATAGAACTCATCACAAACTATAATTATCTTGTTTATTTGTTTACTTGCTCATTTTCTCTCTCTCTTACTAAAATGTAAGCTCTAAGGGTGCAGAGAGCTTATCTGACCTATTCACAGTTGTATGCCCAGACATAGTACAGTTCCTCAAATGCTAAATACTAAAAAAGTGTTGACTGACTGAATGAATAAATACTCCAATGCAAAGCACAATGACCAATAATAATATCATCTTTAAAATGCTGGAGATTGGGGCGCCTGGGTGGCTCAGTCGTTAGCGTCTGCCTTCGGCTCAGGTCATGATCCCAGGGTCCTGGGATCGAGCCCCGCGTCGGGCTCCCTGCTCAGCGGGAAGCCTGCCTCTCCCACTCCCCCTGCTTGTGTTCCCTCTCTCTTGCTGTGTCTCTCTCTGTCAAATAAATAAATAAAATCTTAAAAAAAAAATTAAAATGCTGGAGATACCCACCTATACATGTATATACAATGGGCATACCTCCACACATACTCTACACATGCTTACTTGTGTGCATCCATGCATGCAAAAATGCAAACAGGGAGATGGATAGAGAGACAGAGAGATAGAGAGAGAGATAGATAAGTAGATAGAGATGAGAAACATTTTATCCAAGTTTCATTTTTCCATTATTTTTGTTTTATTAACTACATATGTTATCTTCAAACAGAAATTAATATTTCTTTTTAAGTAAGGATTTCACACATAAACGTTTTCATTTTATCTTACCAGAATCTATTCTTGCTTGCCTTCGGGCAGCACATTCTTCAATTCGAAGTTTAGGTATTCCTTCCGCTACAGCTTTGGCCATTCCACCCATCTCTTCAATTTCATCAATGAGCTAATAAGAAAAAGAGATTAATAAAATTGGAAAAGAATATAAAGATTTTTTTATAAACTATACAAATTAGTTACATCACATAATTACTAATATTAATAAAGTCGTAACTATTTTAGTTGTAAGTTTAATGTTTCATAAGAAAAGAATTAAGTTGACTTCAAGAGCATTAATTAGAAATTCTACAGAGTTAGGGGTGCCTGGCTGGCTCAGTCAAGGGAAGCATGCAACTCTTGATCTTGGGTTGGTGAGTTTGAGCCCCACGTTGGGTGCAGAGATTACTTAAATGAATAAATAAAACTAAAAAAAAAAAGAAAGAAAGAAAAAAATTCTACAGAGTTAACAATACACTATTGTGTATTTGAAAGTTGCTAAGACAGTAGATCTTAAAAGTTCTTATCACAAGAAAAACAATTTTATAACAGTGAGGTATAGATATTAACTAAACTTATTCTGTTAATCACTTCACAATTCATACATATATCAAAGCATCATGTTGTATATCTTAAGCTAACACAACAATATATGTCAATTATATCTCAATTTAAAAAAGAAATTATGGGGGCGCCTGGGTGGCTCAGTTGGTTAAGCGACTGCCTTCGGCTCAGGTCATGATCCTGGAGTCCCTGGATCGAGTCCCACATCAGGCTCCCGGCTCAGCGGGGAGCCTGCTTCTCCCACTGACCCTTCCCCTCTCATGCTGTTTCTCTCTTGCTCCCTCTCTAATAAATAAATAAATAAAATCTTTAAAAAAAAAAAAAGAAATTATGTACTTAAAGTTACTTGAAAACAGAAAAACTAAGATGTAGATTCTGGAAAACACAGAACGTCTCACTCAAGTCTTGGAAAAAAACTAAAAATAACATCAATTCTCTCATCTTTATTTTCAGTTACATAAGTAAAGTATTCATGGTCACATAAATAAATATTCTTTAAAAATATATTTCAAAATGCAATTTTAGTTTTGATTTGAGCAGCAGAGTAATGATATAACTCCAGCTTTACTGATACTAGGAAACATCTAAGCCTTTAATCACAACCTCATATATTCATGAGATGGTGGGAAAAGGAATGGTGGAAGAGTATATGACTTAGCAGAAAAGAACAAAGTTAAACTTGTTTTTTCCTGAAGAATTCAAGAAATAAGAATTCATGCTGGATTCAAAAGAAGCCAAAGGTAAGATAGGAAGCTAAAAAGATGGGGGACTACTTTAGAATTTGTAACTACCCCTCTCCCATTCTGTCAAGAGAACCAAAGTTTACTGCCTGCAGAAAATGGACCAAAGTCTACTTTGGCAGAAAAGCAATGGGCTATCAAACATCAAGTACAGAAAGAGGCAAGGGCAAGATGTCTTGTTGAAATAAAAACCTGCATTCTGAATAATACCACTAAAGACAAGAGGCACATAGAGAAAACAGACAATACAGGATGTAGAAGAAAACTTCAAAAAATGTAATTAATATCCTCAGGAAAAAAATACTCTGTTTTAATTAAACAAGTAGTATAATATACAAGGGAGAAAATCAGAAAACAAAACTCAGCTTTTGGAAATTAAAAATATGATATATGAATTTTAAAGTAAGTAGAAAATTAAAGTTGATGACTCTCCAAGAAAACAAAACAGAATCTCATGGATGAGTTATAGAACAGATAAGAACATCAGAGTATCTTTTAAGGAGGTCCTTATCCAATAACTAGGAGTTCTAGAAAGAGGAACCACAAAAAAATGGCAAGAAGGAAATTATCAAAAAAGTAATACAAGACAATTTCCCAGGGCTATGAGAACATGAAAAATGGGGGAGATAAAAAATGCCCACCGAAGGTCCAGTACAATGCAGGAAAAAATACACACACCAAAGTCCAGCAACTCAAAAATAAAGAGATCCTAAAACTGTTAGAAAGTTCCTGAGAGTGAAAATAGCATCAGATTTCTAAACAGAAATAGTGGAAGCTAGAATAAAAAGTTAGGATAAAAAGTAGATCAACGCTTACACACTTCCAAATGAAAGTAATTTCAAACACAGTCAGACTATCCATCAAATACCAGAGTAGAACGAAGACATTTTCAAACATCCGAAGTTCCATATAAGTCATCTCCCATTTACCACTTTTAGAGAAGGTTCCTATGAGGTATGCTTCAAAATAACAAGGGATAAATCAACAGAGGTAGACACAGGATTCAAGATACAGATTCAACATAGCAGAGGTAAAAAGAATTCCCAGGATAATGGCAAAGGGCAGTCAAAGGGCCGCAATGGTCAGCATGTCTAAAGAGAAACCAGTCGATATCAAATGAGAGCACTGGAGGACTTCAGAAGGATATATATACTATTCAGATATAATTGTATTGGTAGTATTATGAGACAAGAAAAAGCAGAGGTAAGAATCAGCTAAAATACTAAACTACATACTACAAAGCAATAGATAATGCCTAAAATTGATGGAATTAGACCTTGTATATATGTGTAATTCTAAAATATGGAGATACAAACAAAAAAAGATGTATTGATTCAAGGAAGCAGGAAAAAAGCAAGCAGAAGACAAAGAACTGTTTTTTTATGTTATAACGTTTTAACACTCACAGTCTTTTTAAGTCTTTGAACAAAATATTTATTACAAATACAAATATATTTTTAAATTATGTTTCCATTTGTATACTCTTAAAGTTGAATCTAAAATTCTTTTTCTCTCATTTTATAAATCTTGATATAAATCTATCAATGATTTGATTTATAAATCAAAACACCTATAAATCTTTATAAATCTGTAAATCTTAAAACCAAAGTTTCAAAGAAGAGAAACTGACCTTCAAGGCAGCATCATAAACATCATTTGTGAGAGATTCCATCATATAGGAACCTCCCCAAGGATCAGCCACTTTGGGAATCCCAGATTCTTCTTGAATAATGATTTGTGTATTTCTCGCAATTCGAGCACTTTTCACAGTTGGCAAACCCAAGGCTTCATCAAAAGAATTTGTGTGCAAAGACTGAGTCCCTCCAAACACTGCTGCCATTGCTTCTACTGTAGTACGAATAATGTTATTGTAAGGATCCTAAAACATTTAGTGAAAAGGAAAAAGTCAAAACAAGGCAACAGTTGATAAAAGATGTTATGATTAAGCAGTGGCTTCTGCATACTTATTTTGCCAATGTCTACATTAGGCTTCAGAATATCCAATAAATTTAGACAAATTAGTAAACAAGCCAGATTTAACAGGCACTCAACAAATGATTTATTAATAAATGATCAAAGAAACAGATGAACAATGTACTATGAGATAAAAAATCTGCGACTCATTCTGTTTCTGATTGTGATTTGGGTAAATCATTGGACCTTTCTGAACTTTAGATTCATTAGCTGTAAAAAGAGGTTAAGACAAAAATGATTATTAAAGTTCCTTCCAACCCTGAAACTGTACTTCTCCATTTATAAGTACCTGAAGTCATATTTAATATGGCTATATTAGTTTTTATTCACTTTTAAGTGTATAAAAGCAATGTAACTTTAAAGTTATAAATTGGGGCGCCTGGGTGGCTCAGTCACTAAGCGCCTGCTTTCGGCTCAGGTCATGATCCCAGGGTCCTGGGATCGAGCCCCGCATCGGGCTCCCTGCTCCGCGGGAAGCCTGCTTTTCCTTCTCCCACTCCCCCTGCTGTGTTCCCTCTCTTGCTGTATCTCTCTCTGTCAAATAAATAAAATCTTTAAAAAAAAATAAAAATAAAAAAAGTTATAAATTATTTTTAATATATCAAAATAATTTAGTATGTAAATAAAATGCATGGAAAAAGATTACCACACAACTTTCTAATAGAATGAAATTAAATTACTCAAATGATAATAGTCTTTAAATGGGTCTGTTTGCATGCATGAACACATAACTAAAATAAATAATATATATGCACAAAATTTTAATCAGGCAATTTTATATTAAGAATTTTAACTCAAAATTATTTAAGACTGATATTAACTAAATTATGGTTTTTACTTCTTCCTCATCAACACAGTTTTTTTTTACTTTTAAAAAGGTAAAACAGCATTACAGGTAAGTTGATTTATATGATTTTATATTGTTAACCACTAGAGGGAGCCAGTTTTATTTATTATAATATGTGTTAAAAAACATTAAATGTGCATTATGCATCAGAATACTTATAATTTTCAAATATTAACAGATGGGTTCTTAAATCTACTTCCTGACTGCGCTATGTTGCTTGTAAGACAATATATGACTTTACTAAACCTCTATACTTTAAAATATTTATATACCTGCTCAGTAAGTGACCATCCTGATGTCTGACAATGCGCTCTCAGAAGAAGAGATTTAGAGTTTTTAGGCTGAAACATTTTCTCTATTAAGTGAGCCCAGAGTCTTCTCCCAGCTCTCATTTTTGCTATTTCCATATAAAAGTTCATCCCAATTCCCCAGAAGAAAGACAACCTAAAATAGTAATGTTAAGTCCATTATTTGATGAAGCTTAACAATATAAAATGGAAAATAAAACTAATTATATCACACACTAAAGAAAATAGTGTCCAGATTTTAATTTCAAACAATTTAATTTGAATTAAAATCAAAGCATATACAAGCTGGTGCAACCACTCTGGAAAACAGTATGGAGGTTCCTCAAAAAGTTGAAGATAGAGCTACCATATGATCCAGCAATTGCACTACTGGGTA